TTTTGAAAAAAAAATTGGCTTACATTAAATATAAGAGAATTATTAAGATATATTAATCCATGTTTACATGAACCAGTTTATTTCGAAAAATCTTTTTTCTCGAATTTGTTAATTTAACCTCCAAATTTTTATGCCATTCTCGACAGCGAATATTCAATTTTAAAAAATTTTAGGAAATCATCAATTACTTGCTATTTTGTTGATTGTTTAATGCTCTTTTATTTCTTCTGAGATATTAAGTACATCGAAAATATATTTCCTTCCCTTGAAATAACATCAATGTTTCAAGAGTGTACATTCAAAGTGTGACTAAAGTGATTAATTATCTATTTTTCGTTATAACTAATTTGAATATTAGTTATACGTGATTCTAAATATGTAATTTCGGTTAACGCTCAACTGCAGTTACAGGGGCTTTCATTGCCTCCCTTGACGAAGCCGCAAAGATTTGTACTCATCAAATTCGAAAAGTTAGTATATAGCGCTAGAGTCGTGTTTCTTTGCTAAACTAATATTGAAACTAGTTACAAGGGATCACTACAAACTACTGTTTTTTTGTATCACACTGCTCACTACAATACTTTCTTTAAAAAAAAAAACAGCACACTAGTAGCGAAACTACTGTAGCGACTACAGTAGTTTCGCTACTTGTAGCGCGCTACTTCCGACCACTGACAACGACAAAGGCCCGGAAAGTAACAATGTTTCAAAAAACTGAAACTTTATACCTTGGCCAAAGAATACCTAAGGTTCTGTTCTTTGTTCTCCAAGCTTTATACACTCAAAATTTCATTGGGCTGAAATTGAACAATCAATTGAAACCATTGAAACAGGTTTCAGAATGGTACTCTCTACTCTAAAATTGAAAATAATTTTATGGACCACGAAATATAATGTGAATCTACGTGAAAATATGTAAAACTATGTGAAACTATGTGAAATTAGAAACTATGTGAAACTATGCGAAACTATGTGAAACTATGTAAAACTATGTGAAACTATGTGAAGCTATGTGAAAATATGCGAAACTATGTGAAACTATGTCAAACTATGCGAAACTATGTCAAACTATGCGAAACTATGTGAATCTATGTGAAACTATATTTGATTTGATTTGTTCATTTACGTCGCACTAGAGCTGCACAATGGGCTATTGGCGACGGTCTGGGAAACGTCCTTGAGGATGATCCGAAGACATACCATCCCAATTTTGATCCACCGCAGAGGGGATGGCACCCCGTTTTGGTAGCCCGGCGGCCTACATGCGAAGTCGAGCACTTTACGGTAGAACAGTTAAACTAGGACCAATGCCGCACACCCTCGGTCCCTACTCAGACTGAGCCAAGTGGTCACCCACCCGCGCACTGACCGCAGCCAGTGATGCTTGACTTCGGTGATCTGCTGGGAACCGTGTCTTAACGATCAAAAATTTACACTAATACATAGCGTATTATTCTCTAAGTTGTCATCACTAATCAAAATTTTAGTTATACAATAAAAAGTAATGATCAAATAATGAGAGTAAACCTTTGAAGATAAAATTGAATTTGATTAAAAATTACAACCTCTAAAAATCATGAATAGTGAAATTTATTAAAACCTATACGCACTTCGATGTCTTTTTGATATACCTTCTTCAGAAAGATAATTGGGGGGAATGACGAAACTGAGCATTGCAATTCAACGGAGGTTAAGTCTTATTAAAGAGGTAATTATACAGTTGAAAGTGAGAACATAAAACTTACAGAATAAAAATTAATAAGAAAAAAATTAATGATTTCCAAATGTTAGAAAATATGGTAAAGCTGTAAGATCATTAGAGTTAATTTATTTTTGATGATGTGGAGTTTACTTTCTTCTAAACTACATATTTCTAAGTAAGCATCGCATTTTTTACCATTATTTAAAGATTTGGTACCATCAGGTTAAAGTTCAAATGAGACTTAGAACAATAAAGGGTTTTTTTTCTCAGCGATATTTCTTTTTTTTTTTTCAACTTCGGCAGGGCATATACCAATAATGCTAAAACTGACCTAGTTAAATTTTCCTTTCCTCAGCATCTAAACAAAATATTGCTTCAGTTTCTTTTCCCACAGAATTCTTTTCATTAGCGCAAATTTGTTGGCCATTCTTTCATGGGCACCATATTAGGTTTACCAACGTTGCTCCCATGGTAAGAACAGAAGATACGAAGAACATAAAAACATCCATGCCTTGTCCGGGATTCGAAACCAGGAAATTTCTGATGTGAGGTCAGTTCCCTGACCGCTACACCGGTCGGCTAAGATGAAATAGCATGAAATAAATAATTTAAATCACTGGTTCTTATTTAAATCACTGGTTCTGCACGAATATGTAATAAATTAAATAATGGTAATGTTTTATAAAAATTGAGTTGATATAGTCACAGATAATGTGTGCATTTTATAAAAAGTTTATATTAAAATCTGTTGCAAGAATTTCTCATAAAATTTCCAAAAAAAATATAAAAAGTCAGCGATTCTTTTGTCATTATTATTGTTATTTGAAAGCAGCCAACTTCTCATCAGATTTTATTTATTATTAAACTTTTTTTGAAAAAAAATTCATTGTTTGAATTTCGTTTTACTAATATTTATTAATACTTTAAGTTTTCATTTTTGTTGCTTACACACGATCAACAAAAATTTAACTTAAAGATCAGTAGAGAAACTTATTGTAATATTGCAAAATACATTACAACTATTTTTTCTTCAAATATCTAAGCAATTCAGAAAATTTACCTAGAGGATAAAGAAGAAAATTAAAAAACTAAATCAGGCATTTAATTTCGATTTTTTTTTTAAAAAAAAGATAAGAAAAAGAGCATAAACTCTATTCAGTGTTGAGCTGCAATTCAACGCAAATAAAATAAATAAAAAACTAACAAACTTGAATTCATTTTTTTAAAAATATTTTTATCTAGCCTACCTTTGGGATTATAAAAATGAATAAAGAGATGCTTTATGTTAAAAATAAATGAAAAAACATGTTATGAAAGAAAGAAACTGTATTTATTCAGAATCATTCAAAAAACTCAGGCAATTAGGCACAATTTTAAATCAATTCCAATAGAAGTAAAATGTAAAAGCTTTTGAAACCAAACGCCTCAGTATAAGTATTGCAACTTCCTTTAAATATTTATTAATTAATTTTAATGCTATTAATTAATATCATATTTATTTTATATACCATTTTATTTTATTTTTAGCAAGTTTCAAATTTAGTTACTTATTTGATTTCAGCGGTTCATTACTTCTTGAATAGTTAATTAAACAAAACTTATTGCATCGAAGCAATGTTTCTATTCTTAAGTAATTTGAAATACTTGGTTATTTTATTAATATTTTTTGCAATATATATAATATAAGCCGCCTGCGACGACCAGCTGGTCAGTCTCTTTAAACAGAAAAAATGTTAAGTACTACTTTGATATTTAAAATCATATTGTCAAAAATCATGACAATATCTAGCTATATATAAAAATCGCATAAGCTATACATAATTGTATCGCAAGATTCAATCAAATTGTTATCAAAACGGTCTTACGCTTTAAATGTATCAACCAGCTAATCAGAAATTATTACTTTAATATATACCGAACTATAAATCTCTATATAACCTAAAAACAGAATGGTCTAACACGGTTTTCTATTGTTGTCGGTGCATTTTTATTAGCCGGAAACAAGGTAGGATCTAGTTCTCCCACATTAATTTCCATATATTTTTGGTTGTCCTCAAGTTGTATTAAAAATCAAAAAGGTATCGTTTTGCTATGAAATATTTCTATATCTCCTTAATTAAAAATATTAACCTGTAATATTTTTTTTCTACTCTGTTTTTTTTTTGTTTTCGGATTGTTTTCTAAATTAAGAGTTTTAAACTAAAAGAGCTGCTACTTTATTGTAATTCTGTCAGGTCACCTTAATACGCTACATTTTAAGATAATCTCATTTAAATCAGTGTCTAAATTTATTAACCATTTTACAATTGGTATTTTTTGGTGCAAAATATCTACATTAATATAATAGTATAAATTACATAGTAGTATAATACAAATGCATGCTGATATATGCAATAATATAAATGTATATATCATATTGTTTGGTAAACGAAAATAAACTACGCTTGTGCACTCAAATTTGTAGTATCAATATACCTTTAATTTGAAATGCTATTTTAAAAATGATTGCTATGCAAAATTATTTATGTTCCCTAATAGAATCACCAGGGAAATGTTTGGACATGAGAAGTGAGAACAGAAGCGTAAGCAAACAAAATTCTGTTTAGTATATATACTTTGAGTGAATTTCAACGTTTGACCGTTTGAAAAAACCGTTTATTCCAAGAAACAGCAATCGTGGCGGAGCAATCATCGGGGTAGATGAGCGGCAGAGGGATTAGCCCCCTAGTGTAAGCATTAACACATGATAGTGTATTTCATTTTTGCCGCATGTTCACACTTTCAGATCTTGAACTTCAAAGTATTTTTCAGATTTGACAAACAATACAAATCGGTGCTCCCGTTTATGATTTACTAGAGTAAGACAGACAGACTTTCGCTCTAATATATTTAGAGATAGAAATGTTTTAATTACAGAATATCAAGAGCATTTATTTTTAATCTAGAATTTTCCCGGGAAAATAATTTTTAAGATTTTAAGTCAATCAATAAGCTAGTTTTTTTTTTATGAACTAATTATGTTTTAAGAAAAATCGTATTTTAGCAAATAATAAATAATTGAAGATACCTTCACAAATGTAGTTAAAGAGTAAAATTTTAATAAATTTATCTCTGATTACATATCCCTTTACAAATCTCAGCTCCTTAAATTAAATATAATAAAATTAATTAGCTTTTTTTATTAATAAAATTATTATCATGAAAAGAAAGAAATATAATTATACAATTAAAATACAATTATACAATTAAATATAATGATTAAAATATAATTATACAATTAATGAAAAAATGCAAGTACCTGAGAATCATTTAATTCCTCCGCTTTGATATCCATTGTAGCTTTATGACAATCTTCTACAAGATTGTTCTTTTTGAAAAGCTGGAGCTTCTTAGATGGGCCTCAAGACGAAGTTTTGGTGCTGCCACCTGGCGGAATATAAGGTACGCAATGACCTGGAGCCCGCAGGCTATGCTCTAGAAACTTCATCTTTTTTGCACGATGAGCTTTTATGTAAAGCAAACTATTGTTGAGGAATAAAACTAACTAATATTTCACTTTAATGGTTAATAATAAAAATAGTAATAGACTATTTTTAGTAGAATTTTTTATTTCTTTAAATTTAAAGTGAAAAGAGGCGATCTCAGGCCTCTAACCTAACTATAACAAGTTGCAATAGAGTTGTGGAATCGGTAGTCGAAATATCCGACTCCAACTTATACTCAAATCCCAATAAAGTATTATTTCGAAGTAACTGTTAATTTCAAATTGTAAAATATGGTCAGGTCTCTTGTCTATTATTGTATTTTTATTCATTCATTTCAATTATTTTTATTTTATTTATTTTCATTTTATTTATTTTTTATGTATGAGAGCAAGAAAAATACTGTTTATTTAAAATTAAATTTTATATTATAATGCAACAGTTGAAGAAACAAATTTTATGAAATACATTTTATTTTATTTTGTAACCGTCGTTGAACAGCCAACCCAATTTTATGGGTTTACGACTACTAATGTTCAACTCCGTAGCCTTGTAATTTTGAACCCAATCCAGAAGACAAGGGAACTCCTGGACCGAGTATTGGGGAAATTTGCCTTCGTGGAGGACTTTTTAATGGAGCTAACTCGCATTTGCCTTACATATAGAGGAAGACCACGAATTTCAAATTGTACCTCCCTCGGTTAGCCTGACGGCAAGGGGACTCTAACTCATGATCCGTCTACCACTGAGGATAATTCACGTCAGCACTGTGGTCGGTGCAAGCCAGATGCGGAATTCGTATGGACTGGGATTCGAACCCGGTTCACCTCATTGAAAGGCGAATGCTCTATCCCTTGAGCCATCGCGGCTCTAAAATACATTTGTACGAAACATTGAAAATGGGCGAAACTATTTTAAGGAGAAAAAAAAACATATCACTCTATCTCACCCTCACACTTAAAGGGCAAGCTCTCCGAATTCTCACCAAATGCGACAATTTACAGTATTCGCCATAGGGATCAAAGTCTAAACTGTAGAATGGTAAATATTTTTAAACTTTATTTAATGTCATTAATTATAGCTTTTAAGAAAGGTTTTACACTGGTTTGAAGAATTAAACACAAGTAAAAATATATGTTGAGTTTCAAAATGTCGTTTTTCTGGTATGCCACAAACGATATTTATAATAATTATTTGCTTTAAAAATCTATATACATTTTTACTCTTTTTAGTGTTTTACATCTAAACTACAAAAAAAACTTCTTCAGTATGTGCATAAAGAATAATTTCCAAAATATTTCGCAAAAATAAATTTTTCAGTCAATAATTTCTACATAACTTACGTAAATAGCGCTACCCTTTAATTATTTTTGTTTAAATGCATGATTGGTAAGCCATTTAGTTTGAACATATCTTCCAATTAATCGGAGTAATAAATAATTTTTTTTTAAATCATTTAAACTATTTTGATGATTTTGAATTTAAAAAAAAATTCTAAGTGTCGTATGGCAACTTTTTATAGCAAAGGAATTGTAGTGAATATTCATGAACTAGAAAATTAAATTAAATGATACAATAAATTCATTCGCATATTTTTTTAATTAACTAAGCAACTTTGCTAAATAAATTTGATTTCGGAATTTATAAAATAAAAAATAATTTATTAATTAATTATTCATTTATTACTAACTTAAATAATTTCTTATTTTCCCTTCAATAGTTCAATCAAACATAGGCTCAAAAACGTTCGAATGTGATTAAGTTCATGATAATTTATAATTGAAGTAATTGGCATGATAATCATTCGAGTATTATTTTTGTTATAAATGTTTAACTAAATAATTTTCATAAGTTCAAAAACGTTTATTTTAACCAACAGCCTAACTTTCAACTAACCAGAGTTGAGTATTTTTTTTACTCCACAGCCCTGTTTAGAAATAGGCACACTGTTAAAAGTATTGGAATACTTGTTTAGGCGTTGTTTCAAATAACACATGGACAAATCAAGATCACCATCCATTGGTCTATTGTGAATCGAGTCAGGAAAGTGCGCCTTTCGTTTGACAAAAGAGCACCGTGAGCGTGAAAGTACGTCATAGTTCAGAGCCTTACGGATAGGTGATAGCGATAGCACCACTCATTCGTGAGGCCACTCCCTCATTTTAGACATATAACTGAAGGGGAGGAAAATTTTCTCTAAATCTCTGTATTCATGGTATAGTTCGTTCACCAGGAGTTGAGACTTGGCTCCACCTCCTCGGACGCAGAGTTCATTTCAGCGCGGGGGAGTAAGAGGAAAAACATCTCCGTTGTTGAAATTGAGACAACCCTTAATTTGCGCCAAACACAGAAAGTGAATTCTTTTTCACTTACTTTGCTTTATCATCTGCTAATATACCTTTTGTTACACTAGCTAATTAAATATAGTTTAAATTTAAAAACTGTTGTTCTCCCAGCGAAATGTCTCATAAAGGACAAACTATTCACTCAAAAGAAAGAAATATCATAAAAAATA